TTGCACTTTAGCTCTTTTAGCTAAACATTTAAAGAGTTTCAAAAATTACTGTTTTTGCCTTTTTGAGCTAATATCTCTCTTGTATTCACTACTCTTTGCACCTTTAATCCTTTTACTTTCAGACCTCAGATAGTCCAGACCATAGGTATTAACTCTATTGTTTTTATGTTTATTTTTAGCAGGCCTAATAAGCCTTACTGATTTTCCTGGGGATGTTCAAGTTGGTAAGACAGATGATGGCATTTTATCAAGAATTCTTGAAGTTTTAATGTCTTAACTCTGCTGTCTTAGAGGCTGCAGACCCTATGACTATAGATCACTGGTTCTTAACCTTGGGTAAGTTTTAATGTCTTAACTCTGCTGTCTTTGAGGCTGCAGACTCTATGACTATAGATGATTGGCTATTATTGATATACTTTGCCCTTGTCCCTCTAACACTGTTAGCCCCTGGACACAGCATATGTTGGGTAGAAGCTTGAGCTTCACAGACAAGACTGTATAACTACTGATGTCAAATTCTGAAATGCTAGTTTTAAATCTGATAGTTTTCAAGTACTGTAACCTCATCAGGCTATTATTGATATAACACTGGTAGCCCCTGGGCACAGCATATGTTGGGTAGAAGCTTGAGCTTCACAGACAAGACTGTATAACTACTGATGTCAAATTCTGAAATGCTAGTTTTAAATCTGATAGTTTTCAAGTACTGTAACCTCATCACTAGCTGTCCTCCCAATGCACACTGTATGCCAAATAAACTTCAGTTCTAAGCAACCAGCTGGCTCCTTACCATCTGTGAGGGTTCAGATTCCGGCTCCTGTTTTTCTCCAAACAGATCACCAGTCTTACGAGGCTTTGAAATGGGTGTAATGTTTATTGCAGTCTTTAACAAGAAACCAGTGTCTGTAAAAGCATTCCAACATTTGTCTCCTTCTAACCACTGGCCAGCAAGGGGCTTCCATTCATCATCTTTGAAATGGTTTCTCCCCCCACCCCCAGTGTTCCAGGCCCCAGTCCGGTCCATTGACAGGTTGGGATTCAATACTAGTCCAGTCTCCCCTTCCAATAAGGGGACTGTGTTCTCATCCCGGTGGTCCAACCAGGTTGGTTCCTGGGTGGGGGTGTGTGTCAGCCAGGGTCCTCTGGGTATCCCCTCATCTGGTATCCCCTCACCCTCCATTCTATTCCTTCTCTTCTCTCTCAACCTTCTCCTTTTCTTCTCTTAACTTCCTCCTCCACTCCCTTGTCTCTTTTTCACCCCAATAAGATGGCTTGGGAGTGAGCTCTCTCCTCCTTCGGCAATCTGCTGCTTCTTTGGGTATCCGGAGTCTCTCCCACTTCCCTGTCCATGGATCTTGCATCCAGATCCATTCCCAACCTGCCGGTAACTCCCCTTCTCCCCTTTTTATATCTGCTAGACCTGCCTCTACTTCCACCCTTGGCTTCCGTTCCTTTCCCACGAAGTCTTTCCCGGTCTCTCTGACCGTTAGTCTTTTCAGATCTTCCTCTATTCTTCTGGGTTTGGCTCCGATGGTCCTGTTTTCTTGGGAGGGGAAATGGGCAGGGTCTGGATTTCTTTCTCTGCTGTGGGCTGGAGGGATGGCACTCCAGTGAGAGGGATCTTACTCTCACCTCCGATCTTACACCATCTAAGTGGGATTATGAGACATGGACTATGGAAGGTGGTGAACTGCTGGATAGCTAACTGGTTTAGGTATCTGGATGGGCATTCAATTCCCCGCTGTGCCTCCCTGATGGGCTGGACTCAATGTTCCACAGGGTCCTTTCCAGCTCTGCAGCTCTAAGGTGATGATGATGGTGGTGTAATATCTAAATTGTGAGGTAGTGTTTCAGTCAGTTAGTTTCTTGACCCTGTGACACATTGATGCTCTCTTGATCAGGATCTACTCTTTCCTCAGGTGATTAATCTCCTGAATCTACTGATAATCCTCTTGCATTTTGCTTTTTTCTTCTCTGTTGCAGAAAAAGGATTAAGAACCCAGCTCTAGGCAATCTGAATCGTGTTAGAGTTCTTTTCTGTTTTCATGTTTTTACCAGGTCTTCAAATTAGACCCCAATATAATACAATATATGAGAAATCTACGATATGCATAAAAAATCTAGATTATAAAATGAGACTAAACTATAAACATACTGTATGTATAGACTATCCCAGAAATATTCAAACTAATATTTGAGATCTACCCAAGAAATTATCTTACAGCTGCTAATTACGCGTAGTGGTGGCCAATAATAGCTAAATAATAACTCCTAGGTACCATCTCACTGTACACCTAACTAAGCATTAAATGTTGAATATATAACTAAAATAATCAAACTAATTAAAAATATGGACCTAAAAACAATTGGTCTTTAGTCAGAAAACTTTTTAAGAACGTTAATTAAAATTAAAGTAGATAATGAGAACTTGAATAGAACAATAAGAAAAAATAAAAATATATAGATTCAAAAAGTAAGATTAATTTAGAATATACAACCAGAAAATTATTAAGTGAACTACAACTGTTAATAACCATTAAAGTATCACAAAATTCACAGGTCTAGACATAAAGAGAAAGGGAGCCAGAGGCTAGGAGTTTGATTCCCTGCTGTGCCTCATGGACTCAAGGATCCAGAGGGTCCCTTCCAGCTCTGTAGTTCTAAAATTATAATATGTAAATTTCTTGTTTATCTATTTGGTTTTTCAAGCTACAGGCTCTCAGCAATAAAGATACAGACTAACAAACTTAGTACAGTAGTAATAATAAAACTTCCCTGTGGATGGCTGCTGAAGGAGAGTAAGTAGAGCGTTGCAAATCATGTTGTAGTCAAGCTTAGAGAGTCATAAACAAGGTGCAGCTGCTAGGTATTTTAGTACCTTAACAATCTCCAGAGGCTGTTTCTTAAAACTATTATTCCAAGTCAGCTTGTCAGTTTCTAGAAAGGATAATTTTCAATCTGTTTTCAACCTCGGCAAGGCTGCCAAGCGAGCCAAGGCATGGAGGGGGCCAGAGAAAGGGCAGAAGAGGAAGGCGTGACTAGAAACAGCTGAGGCTGCTCAATGGGCTGAAGGTCTGGCTGGGTTCCTGAATTCCCCCCCCCCCAACCGCCTGTTCTTCTGGCCAGTTGTCTCCTTGCTTTCCTCACTTCCCAGATGGAGCAACTCTTAGGAGGAACAGAGGAGTCCCTCAGGTTCTTAAACCTTTGTTTTGGTTCTGTTCTCAGTATAGCTTGCAGGGACCTTTCCCTCTTCTTTTGTGCAAAACAAATCTATATCTGTTGTTCCTTAGCTCAGAACCTGTTCCCACTGCCGGAATAAGACAGCGAAGGGATCTTTGGAAAAGAAAATTGGGCCGAAGTCGCATGGACCTTGGCCCACGTCCAAAACTGTGGTGGTGGTGTGTGCATCCTCACCTCTGCTGCTGCCACCCTTTCTGTCTCCTATCAGGTATATCCACTCAGCTGGCACGGGGGGGGGGCATGCGCACGAGAGCAATGGAAGAATGGAAAGGGAGGGAGAGGAGAAGGGGAAGGAAAAGAGCAAGGAGTGAGGGTGGGAGGGCGTGGGGACAGGTACCTAAGGAGTGTGTGAGGGGGGTGAGAAGGTGAGTGAGCAAGTAATGGGGGCAGGTAGGCGAAGAGGGAGTAAGGTGGACAGTCATAGGTGTGAGCGAGTATGGGGGTGACTGGGTGGGTGAAGGGCAAATGGGCAGTCAGTCGGGGGGCATTAGCAAGGAGGGGTGACTGGCCAGGCGCTGGCTTTTTCAGCAACCCTGGTGCTTTTATTAATTTTTCAAATCCCTGCTATCTGTTAGTAGGAACTTTTTTTAAAAAAAAGAGCAGATGGGGTGTTCATATATGCAGAATCCGTACTTGATCATGTAAGCACAGTCTAACGTGGCTACTTATTTGAAAACCATACTAAGCAACTATCAGAAATGCTGCAATCCGTAATCCCAAGTATTGTCTGAAAGATTTTACAATTTGTACTGGATAAAGCCTTCATCTTACATTACTGTGAATACTCATGTGATGTAGTGGATAGACGGACTAGGGCCTAGAAGGACTAGGTTCAAAACCCTGCTCCCCCATGGGAACACACTAGGGGAGGGGAACTGGTAAAACCACTCTTTAAACATCTCATTTACCTTGAAAGTCCTCTTAGGGTCACGATAAGTCAGTTCTGACTGGACAGCACGCAACAACATGGTTAGGATATGGTAGTTCTAAACTGATTTTCCTCTCCATTTTAAGGGCCAAACAAGTCGAAGCAGCTGCCTTATCTTTAGAATAACAGTTTCCTTTAAGTGGAAATTATCCCTACTTGTTCAAATGTGAAGTTTGCCTCACGTCTGCTTTGGGCAAATGTACCTTGTTTCTGCTTTCATCTTGAACATGGCTTTGCCCAGTGGATGGATTCGTCTGGATGCCTGCTGCCTCAGGTACCTAATGTTGAAAGATTTGCATCCTAAGAAGGTTAATGTAGAAGGAGGAAGTATGCATTGACCTCGAGGTCTGGTCTGACCCTTCCTTTCCTTTTTTTTTCCTGTTTCTCACAAGGCTTGAGTTATAAGTGAGCACCAGAAAAAGTGGAGTTTCCTCCCAGCATGGAGGGAACAGAGGCGAAAAGTGACAAGGGACTTGCGTGGTTACCAATGATGCGGAGGAGGAAACTTTGAGCAGGAGTAACTTAAGCTACAAGCTAAGATTTTCTCCCCTGTGCAACTATAAAAGGTACAGAAACCTCATGCTGTTTTTCTCCTAGTCTGCCTTCCCCTAGTGTAAATTTCCAGGGATGGAAAGAAAGCTACCTGATGGATTCATGCTTGACTCCCAAACTGAAAGGGAAGGCAGGCAGGCAAGAAAGGAAGAACAAAGGAAACCCCCCCCCCCCCCAAACACATCAAGAGCACTGCACTTGCAAGGCAGTATGCCCAGAAACTGGCTTACACACCTTTGTCAAAATATACATCTGTCATCTAGAGCTAGCCGGAACTGACCTGTCGTTGATTAAATGGCGACTTCCTGGCTCCTGTTGGTCACAGGGAGAGCAGACACTTCCTCTCCTTTCTTGGGCTGCTGCTTTTCTGGCTGCTGCGGTTTGGGTGTGGAAAGACAAGCTGCTGAAGCCTGCCTGGCTCATGCAACTGGCTTTTCCTCCCAGCCCAAGTTATAGATTTGTTTGAGAAGGTGACGGCCTGAGTCTCAGAACATTGTCTAATTGCTGCATCATATGGGTGACATCAGCATTCCTGTCTAAATTACAGCCTGAGCAAACAGTAGATGAGACATTTTACATTTCAACTTGAAATGGAGTTCCCTGAACAGGAAAATACATATCCTTATCTGAGCATGAGGTTGCTACATTCCATATGTTGAGCATTACTTTGCTTTCCACCCCCGCCCCCTCTCCCCTGTGGTTATCAGGAGATGTAGGGATGGGATTTTTTGGAGTTTCTGGATTGCAACTATATTAATTCTTCATTCTGGGAGTTCCACCTACCTTACAGACTCCTAAATGTGATGCCTCTGGGAGAAAGGCCTAAGCTGGAAGGCTTTTGAGGCCACCCAAGCTTCCTTTTCTGGCCCCAGTGCTGGCTGGGAGCTTTGTTTCTTGAGAAGGAAGCCTGGGCAGAGTGAGGCATGTCTAAACCTCAAAACTCTTCCATTTTAGGCCTTTATCTCAGCTGAGCCACATACAGGAGTCTGTAAAGTAAGCAGCACTCCCAGAATGGAGAAGGATGGCATTTGTAGTCTTGAAAATCCCAAAATCCAATCCTTAAACATGGGCTTCATTTCTAAATCTCAGAGCTCAAGCGTGAAGGTTGGAAGGAATTGTGTACCTGGAGGAAAAAAACACGGCAGCAGGAAGTACACATTTTCTTTAATATGTAATTCAACCTTGATTCAGTAGAATTCAAAAGGCTTTTCTAGACTAATTGGGAAAAATGAGAAATGAGGCACAACCCTCAGCAGAATTCTGAAGCTGATCTGTGTCTCCCTTAGTCCAACCTCCTTTCCATATTATAACTGGGTCTTAAAAGACCAGCTTTCCCCCCACTTGTTTGAATGTTGCAGAGAAAAGGCAGTTGTGGTCAGGGAAATCCTTGCTACAGAGAAATATCCACAACATATGCAAAGATTAGGGGTTATGGTGTAGGCTACAACATTGATTTTCAATCACAGCAAGAAAATGGCACAAGTCAACCATAACTTTCATTTCACCCATATAACTTTCCTGTGGCTATAGTCCTATAGCTACTTGCATGAAAATCAATGGAATTTACTACTAGGGCATCAGAGTGGGTGATGTATTGAGCATATGACAGGAAGAGTAGTGCCTGCTAAAATTCCCTCCATTTGTGCAAGTGATCCTATTCAGGGCAGAGAGTCAGTCTTAGTAGGACTTGCCTCTGAGCAAACATGAATGAGATTGGGCCAAATATTTTGTCATAGGGTAGCCAAAGCAAGGGAGCAGGATGGGGTGATCAGTGCAAGCCTATCTCATAAATTATAGGGCTTACTTGTGAGAAATGATGTTAAAACTCAGGCCACCCAACCCTACTTGGAGATTTCCTGGGTAATACCTGAATGGGAAGCCATTAGGTAAAGCCAAAGATCCCCACCTGAACTAGAAAAGAATTGTTCCGGAAACTCTGCAGATCCCCTCCCTACCAGTCAGAGCTGACAATGCTACACTAAATGGAATTATAGTTTGATTTGGTATAAGGCAAGCTGTCTGTGTTCCTCTCAAGAGAGTGAATTAAAAAAAAAAAGATACACAGAGTGCTGTCCTCTGAAGATGCCAGCCACAGAGACTGGCGAAACGTTAGGAAGAACAACCTTCAGAACACGCCCAAAAAGCCTGAAAAACCCACAACAACCATTAGATCCCGGCCTTGAAAGCCTTCGTGAATATACTTAAGATGCTTAAGTGTTTGATGCAACAAAGAGATGTTGTAAAGCACACAAATCCTTACTTAAGGGGATCCAAACAGGCATATAGATTGATATATAGAT